GAGATGTTACACACTCACATAAACAAGTCTCTTGATTTGAACGTTAATTTTTAATAAAATATCAGTAAATATAAATATTGATGTGTATCAAAGCATAGAGTGTATTTATATTATTTTCTAATGGTTATAATTATACAATAAAAATTTTATGTGTTCTATATATTACATTTTCATTTTGGATGATGATCCAAATGAATTGATGACTGATCATAAATTAATTTTAGTGCTGAAGATTACCCAGACAGAGTTTCCTCTTGTCTGGGTAATCAACAAGGATTACTAACATTGTATTCCTTGAGCAATAAATTTTCTAGACCTGCTTATGAGGACATCCTTTTTTCAAGGAAAATAAGGTCATTGCTAAGAAATCATATATCAAACAGAATCACACATAAATTTACAGGGAATAATGGAAATATTAACTGCACTGAATTCAGAATGTTCAGTGTTTATTGAATTTCTACTCTACAATGCCCCTTGTATAAGAAAAATAGAAATAAATAATAATGTTTTATGTCCAGTATTCTCCTTCCAAGAAGAGAAAACATAAATATGCTACAAACTGGAATACAGAAAGATAAGTGACACGTTGCTGTGTGCAGTGTTTGGGAAAAAAATAGAGGAGAGACTGATTTTTCTCTAACATAAAGTCGTAGATGAAGAAAAACTAAGTCAGTGAGGTAGAAGGTATTCATTTAGACTTTGCAGTGTTGTTTAACAGCATTTGCAATAATACAGGAGTATGCCCAAAGAGTGGAAAGTGACACATACTTGAGGCAAGTAAGACAGAACAGGCCAGCAAAGGTTGGCTGGTCTTAAAATTGAAGGGTCTCGAGAGACTTCAGAAGCAGTTGGGATGTGTTGTTGGTGGACTGGGTAAGAATTTAAATGAATTAGCAAAAGAGTATTGTGTGTACTTCCAAAAGGCAATTCAGCTAACAATCAGACAGAATTAAAAGGAAATCAGGAGTTTAGAGATAAAGAATAAAGAGTTGCTTATTTGGAGAGAGAGAGCATTTAGAAAACCAGAAAACAGCACATGGAAAGAATTGAAGCTGAGCTTCTAAATGCTTCAAAACTATTCTCAGATCTAGAGTTTCATAATCTTTTTTGACCCCTGACTGAATCACTTTGATTTTTTCTTATCTACAGTAACTTTATATTGCAAGGCCTATTGCATCATTTCTTCTTTCATTTTGGACTGTTGGTCCTTGACTTGCGATTATTAACCTAGAAATGAATCTCTCCAAGGAGGCTCACTTGCTGCTGTTATCTCAGACTCCTTGCAGTGGCCTGTGTCGAGGGAATTTGTTTTGAAAGTAAAAAGTGTATCTGTGTGTGCTGTTGGCAAGTAGAATCAAAACTCTATCTTTCTCTGTTACACTTAACACCTCTTTCACTGCTCAGCTAATTCTAACCCCTTCAGTTTCTGTCCTCTCCAACTTGAGAGTGAATGAATCCAAGTTATTGTATTCTGGAACCTTGACAACAAATGAAACTCTGCACCATGGCCGAGCTCCCACGGACATGCTGTTTCTTAAGTATGGAAGAGAAGGAGAAATAGTCTGTGATATGAATTTTACCTCTTTCATGTACATATGTGTTTGATTTCTTTTTAGAAATTCCAAATAAGCTTTCTCTAAATACTGTTTTGTCCCTACCCTAACAAAAATTAGAGTGGTATTTTATTGGGTCATCATTAATGGTATACCAAACTTAATAAATATTGTAATAATAACTGTATTAATAAGTTCTTAGTATTCTTTTTTAGGAGCATATATAAAATGTTAACCTTCTGGAAAATTAAGACTAAAATTATGTGTCAATATTTTCAAAATTAATAATTGTTTACACATAAAGGGAAAGTCATTTACCCCAGTTTTATAGAGCTGGAAACAGAAAAAAAAATTCATATTAATTCTGGTGATTCTCTTTCTAGAGGTTGTGTTATAAAGATAGGTATTAATATTAAAGAGACAACTGGAGTTTTTCAAGTAATTAAAATGAAAAAGCTTAGTGCATATCGGACTTAATGAAACTTTTATAAAATACATTTTTCTTATGCTCTGCATTTGTTTTTAAGAATGTTTATAAAATTTTGTTGATCACTTTGGTTATTTCTCAAGTGATTATTTTTTATTTTACAATTTTGAAATAATTCTTTATCTTTGTCAATAGAGAAGTGTATGTATAATATCTGAGATACAAATATTTATGCAGATTATACTGTTGAAGTCTGAACTAACTTTAAAATCTATTTGCATTATTTTTTCAACTGAATCCTTGATTGGTTAAAAAGAATAATTTGTTTTGATAAAATGTTTTCCCTTGAATTTTAAAAATTTACTTTGTATAGCAGTTCCTTATTGAACACTGATCATATGAAACTTTAATGTAATAACTGAACTATTTAGAACATGTATTATTCATTGATGCAAAAAATACAGATTTTAAATGAACATTATTCTTATTCACTGAGAATATTTCTTTTTTTCTTTCCTTTTTTGTTACACCGAGAATATTTAAACATGAATATTTGGCTAAAGAACTCAGGATGAAGTTTCAAAGATAAACCAAGGTGTTGAGGCAGCCTACTTGCTCCTTAGGATAGTATGTACAAGAAGATAAGATTTCCAGTGTAAACAACTCACTAGACAACTACATTTGTTTTTAGGTTCAATGGTAAATGGATGGGGCTCTGCATCTGATGAGGATCATAACTTTTCTAGTCATAGATCTAGTGTAGGTAGCTCCTCAGAGGGCTCCATCTTTGCCAGTGGCAGTTTTGCACAAGCACTGGTGGCAGCAGCAGATAAAGCTGGCTTTAGGCTGGATGGAACCAGCCTTACAAGAACAGGTTGGTAGAATCCCAGTCAACACTCTTTGCATGAGGGAATCTTGTCCTGTGGACACTGACCTTTTTTTCTCCTGTCCTTCTCAGAGAGTCAGACTTCAGGGCTTTCTTTCATCTGCATGGACATAGTTGGGGTGCTCTGTTGGCAGAACTCTCTTCTGATGTTGGTTTTATAGAGCTGGAAATAGTCTACTAACCACCTTCTAACTCCTTTCCCTTCATGGCTTTACTGATTAACTGAAATATGTGCCCTTTTAATATTACAACAAAGCAGCAAAGAAGATTGCCTTTCATTTTCAATAACTCACACTTTGCAGAATTCTCACAAATCAATAATGAACCTAATGATTAAAATTATTCAGCTTTTATAGCCATTAGTTTCCTTTGCCCCATGTCTTTTGCAATTGCGTTTTCTGGGAATGTTTCTACAGCATGAGGTGAATGGGTCTAAGGTTGTTGGTCTAACAGTTCAAATAACTGATGGTCATATTAATTGTCTGGCTAAGATTTTGATGCTGTAATGTATTATACGATATAAAGGATGCTAATTAAAGATAAACCTACTGCATTTGCAAGTTGAGTAAAATGATGGCTTCATGTGTGTCACTCGTCAGTCATTTACTTATTTCTATGAATGAATAATAATACAAAGGGTCAATTGTGTACTGTTTGTTTCTCAAAGAAAGAAATCCAGGAGTAGCTCTAATATTAGATCAGTAATTATAATCATTTGTTTTTCTGAGGAAAAAGTAATTTTGGCATGATGTATGTCCTTATATTTATACGCATACATTTTAAGTGTACACATAGGAAAGTAATATATGACTTAAACTGAGATGTCTTCCAAAACAAAATAATGAAACTAATGCAAGTACATTTTAAATCTTAGTAGCATTCAAATAATAAAAATGCTTTTGACCCTTTGCTAAACTTTGAAGTTGTAAAAGTGAGTCTTGGAACTTGCATTTAAAATACCATCAATATTTCTTTAGAGCTAGGATTAAGTAGTTTTCAAACAAAATGAAAAAGATTTCTCAACCATTGCAGAGGTTTATTTTCATATAGCATCTAAACTAAAATATATTGTAAGCTTACTGTTTGAATTTTCTTACTTTATAAAGTATAAGTCAAAAACTTTATATTACATGAGTGCTTTTTATGGCATTAGCTGTAAACAGAGCAGTGAGAAAATGCAAAGAAACTAATAAATTTAAAAACAAAAATTATTTTCTTGCATGTATACTAATAGCTAATAAAGCATTAAGCAATATCATATCAAACTGACTTAGGAAAATGTAACAATGTACAGTAATTTTGTGTGGAACAAAAACATGCACTACAGAATGAATGCATATTCATAAACCAGGACTTTCTCACTTTAATAAACACAGTATTAAAAGAGAAGCTGTTTATAATTTACTAGCTAACCTTTCCCTAGAATAAATTTCTCTCTACATGTACTAAATCACAAAGAAAATAGCATATTGTACTGTTAAATGAGGAATTAAAATTTGCTCAGATACAAATAGCCTTCTTCAGAGAACATCTCTTGCTCTTTGGATATACAGGGTCATTTTAACCTGCTGTCTCCTGATAATATATTGTTTCTGCTAAAAAAAAAAAGGTAGAAAACACCTTGTACACATATTTCTTGGTAAGGTCAGTTGAATATATGTATCTGAGTTAATATTTTGTGCAATATTTTAAATATAATTAGTTTAAGACATTTTTTCTGTTTTCAGAGTTGAGTCCAGGGATAAGATTTGAGTGAACAAATGAAACAGTGCACAATTCATTTTAGAAACAGCCTCTTTAGAAAAGTTCATGCTGCATGGATATTTATAGCTATGAAAGTATTACCGAGGTTGTTAAGGTTAAATAAAAATATAATCAAGTAATAGTGAGCTTTTGGTTAGCGAATTTGCGTATGTTGACTTCTTTGAAATACTATTCGGTATAGGAGGTATTTTCATTTTATTAGAATTTAGACAAATCACATACAGCAGGACCATATAGAGGTGTACTGATGTTTGGTGTCTTCAGAAGGAATGCTTAGTTTTAGTAAGAGTAGAAATATATGATGAATCAAGGTTTGTCGTTCTAATGACGTTCTCTGTACTCCGTTCCTTATTTTATTCTTTCATAGGAAAAGCCTTTACCTCCTCTCAGAGACCTCGACCCACCAGCCCATTTTCTACTGACAGTAATACCAGTGCAGCCCTGAATCAAAGTCAGAGGCCTAGGCCCACCAAAAAACACAAGGGAGGACGAATGGACCAACAACCAGCATTGCCTCATCGAAGGGAAGGAATGACAGATGGTAGGTTTATTTCCCTCCCTCTTTTCTTCCTGAAGAGAGTGCTCTGTGCAGTCATTAACCTAGATGAAAACAGCTTTGATAGATTAGGCATTGCCTCATGATATAACAAGACAGAAGCCCAGCCATATGGTCTTACTTAAATAAAACATTGTTTTCAAAAATCTGAAACTGGGGCTGGGGATTTAGCTCAGCAGCATAAGCACCTGCCTTGCAAGCAGGTGGTTGTGAGTTCGATCCCTGGTACCAATTAAAAAAAAAAAAATCTGAAACCAATTCCATCTTACCAGTCCTCAAGAAAGATATGCCATATCACATTTTGGTGCTGACTTTTCTGCTCTTCTGGCATTTTTCTTTAGTGCTTGTTACCAAATTTTTCACTTTAAGATTAAAAAAGAAAGCATAAACTGCATGTGTACTTGTAATAGTATCAGAACACTTTTGATATTAAATTATAATCCCTTAAATAACATTTCTCTTTTGGAAAATATTTTGAATTAGTTTTTTAGCTTCGTGAATTTCAAGGTTCAAAACATGCTCATGTATTTGCAGAAGAGTGTTGTTTGTTAGATTAGACTATGATAACTATTGTAGCCTTAAATACATTATAAAATTATTTCTCAGTTTCTGGAATTGAGAAAGTCAAAAATGAAGGTGCTAACAAATTTTGTGTCTGGTGAGGGCTCTCTGTCTACTTTCTTATTGTGTTCTTGCATGGTAGAAGAGATCTATCTGGGTGTGTTATACATGGACACTGTTCCATTCATGAGGAATCTGTCTTCATGATCTAATCACCATCCACGGCCTGCAACTCCTGCTGTCATGCTAATTGGAGGTTAGCATCTCTACATGTGAATATAGGGGAATAGAATTCTTCAGACCACAAAAATGTGCCATAAGAATTTACTTTCCTGTTAAAATCAATATAACTATGTTACAAGAATGTTTATTCTAAATATCACTCTATAAATTGTCCTTAAGAATATTGATATTTTTCAACTAAGGTTTACGTCACAACATTTATATGATCAGAATCCATATATCACAAATAATTTCAAGTATCTTTATGTAAAATCAAACTGGGAAGGTTTATGCTTAGTAATATTCACTGTAAAAGCAGATATTTTACACTGAAACCTTTGCATTATAGATTTTATAATATTGTTTTATAGTTATATCAATTAAGGTAATTAATTCTGGTTGCTTTATCAAATAACCTCTAACCCTAAAAGTCTTAACACTGTAAAAACTTCTATCATATTGATACAGTGATCTACCAAGTCCACGTGGCTTTTTTCTAAGCAGTAATGTAAGTATGTAGACCTCTTGAATATTTGAATGCCACCATTTTCATGATTGGACCATTATGGTTTAACAAGGGGGAGTCAGGAACATGAGTAATCTTTGGAAGGTTTTAATGGCAAGTGGCTCATATCACTTTTCACATTTCATTGGCAAGAATTCTATCCCATGATATCAAGCTAACTTCTGGGATAGAAAAAGTAATCTCTGTCCCATAGGAGGAACTGGGAATGACTTCAAATACTATTCTATGTTCCAAAGACTTGAAAAAATCAGATGAATCAGGAGTATGCTCTTGTGTAAAGTTTCTACTAAGCTTTGCTGAATACACATCTTCTGTCTATTACACAGAAAGTTGAAAAGTAATCTTTGAACTAGTATAACTCACTAATGCTAAAGAAAAAAATATTTATCCGTTAAGCTTTTTTCCTAGCTCATCTCCTTCCAACCTCCTCTTCCTTTCCTTAGTTCTTGGTACTTTACTCAGAGGAAAGGCTCTTTACTAGCTCGACCATGTACTGATTTGATCTTTGAGAAAATTCATGTGTGATTAATCTATGCATTCAAATATATATTATGATAGGCAAGGGGAAAAAATAGACAAATTCCCTAATTACTCAGAGCTTATATAACTAGTGGGGGACTAAAGACAAATGTACAAGTGAAGGTACAGTGTATGTAACACGATGATCATTGCTAGGGGGGAATAAAAGAAGGGACTTTAGACATATAAGGTCAGAAAGAACTGTTTTTAAGTAGGGTTTTTAGGAAAAACCCCACATACAAACTGACATTTGAGAAAAGACTAGGAGATTGTAAACGAAGGAATGATGCTTGGTATCACAGGGCAGGTCTTTCTAGGAAATAAGAACAGCAAGTAATGGACTGAAGCTTAAGTGATAAAAAAAAGCAGGAAAGCAGTCAGTGTGGCTGAAGCAGGCAGAGCAACAAAATAGAGTATGAAGAAAGACAGGCGGACAAGGGCCAGTTGTGTATGAGGACTCTTATGCTACAGTATTTCAAATGGGAAACTCCTGGAGCTGTGCATACGTGTGTGTCAAAGGCAGAGGAGTGGCATGATCTTGTATAGGTTTTGATTTTGAAAAGGTCACATTAGCGGTTGTATTGTTGCTGTGTACTAAATGAGGCATAATCTTATATACTAAATGCTATATACTGAATGAGACATAAAACAGATCAAATAGGAGAATGTAGGAGCAGTGTGAGGAATGGGTGATGGCTGATCGTACCAAGGTAGAATTAGTAGAAGCAATGAAAAAGTTTGGATTCTACAGGTCAGAATTCCTTAATGAAATTAATCTAGAACATAAAGCAAGAAATTTAAAGATCTCAGTAGTTCTCATGCAGGATAGAATTGTCCCTCGTTGGAGAAACACTACAGAAGAAGCATAATTCATAAACAGTGAATTTTAGCTCAATTTTGATATATGAAATTTGAGAATTCCACCAGTCTCTAATTCCAGAGTGTACCCCTACTATCTGACTCCAGAGAATTTCCAGAGAGTATTTGGTTATATGGGTCTGGAATTCACTGGAGGAGAGATCCAGACTGTAGTTACTATACTTAATTTATTTGTACCCCATTTTTTTACCTAAAAAGTGAAGATAATAATTGGATCTATTTTAATGGACTGATATTGCTTGACAATAGTAAATTCTCAGTATGCCAGTAAGATTTTCTTTAGTAAATTGACTTAGTTAAAATGAATCAACATAGAACTGAATAATAAATTTAATTTAAGGAAAAGTATCTGATTATACACTTATTTTTTCTACAACCATTTGTAATTCCATCTCTTTCTAATTTATTTATTTTAGTTTGCATACAATATCTTTTCTTAGTTGATACAATCTGCAGGGATATTTCTTAATTATGAAGCTATATAATTTCAGGTTAAGTAGTCATCAGAATATTAGTTGACATAAGCAGATGCCATTTTGGCCATTTTAGATATTAAGTTGCTCTGATGGAGAATAAAAATCAATGACAAGATACATTATTTTGGAAGCAAATGCAATAATTTCTCCTCACTGACAGTCTAAGTCCAATATCTCAAATTAATTAACTTGCACACAAAATAATGTATGGAGGATAAAGTCAGTATTGAATATAAATACCAAACTTACTGGACTATTTGTATCTCAGTATTGTATTAGCTCTTCATTTTCGAAAATATGTTTTAAAATAACTTTATTATTTCAGACAGAGACCCTATCTCCTTCAATAATGAATAATTCATAACCTAACATGAGGACGTACATAAGAACTAAAAATGCTCTTCAATTTGGTAATTTACAGAACAGATGCTCATTTATATCTGCTCAATGAAGCATAATATCTTTCTGTTCATACTGCAAAGAATACAGCTTAAAGGTAGTAGCTTAAAACTTCCTTTCAGGAAGTTATCTTCTGTAGGTAAAAAATGTATACTTTTCCCTTTTAAATTGCACAAACAGAGTATTACTAGAAACAAGAAATGCACTTACACAAATGGCATGGGAACTAATTGCCTCTATTATATAATAATCTATGTTAATAGAACCAAGTATATAGTGTGCTTATTTTATTGTTATGAACAAATATTTTAATTATCAATACTCTAAAAATGAACAAAGAAGGTTAAAATAGTATGCAAGAAAAATTCTAACAAATTGATTTAAATGAATATTTAGAAGATTTTAGCTCTTCAACAAAGAGATTTCAGAGATAGTGTAGGATTTATAAGTAAGAAGGAAATATAATTTCCTGATTGAGGATAATAAAAATATAAAGGTAAAGATTTGAAGAGCTAGGGTTGAACTGAAAAATAAGCTGACATTTGAACTTTTAACTTTTCTTATTCAATACTTAATTTTGTGAAAAATTATGTATTCCACCACATCTCAAATTTCTATGATATATTGTCTGCTTTTGCATCTTCATCTGTTCTCTGGGCATTGGTTATTACTTATTAAAATTAATACATTAGAAGATTATAATATATTAGTCGTAACTCATTAGCTAACTCGTGAAACGAAGAGTCAGAATTGGTTGTCACATGGAATGTTAAATATATTTAACAATTGTTAGCTTAACCTTTTGACTGTTGCTAAATGTGCTACATACATGGATAAAGGCAATCATATGTTACATATGATACAGCATATAGTTGTTAATTTCCTGAGGGTAAATTTCCTATGGAGATTGACAAGAGAGATTTATTCTCAGGGACTTTTATTAGCACAGCTGCTAGAATTCTAAGTGATCTTATTTTTTGTGATAGTGTTTTAGCTTTGAAAGAGGTCAACAGTGAAGTGAAATAAACCATAACTGCCCTTTAACCTTGAATGTTAGCCCCAGTGTGCACTTGAAAACTTTTTCTGTGTTAAACAATTGCATAATTCAGTCAATTTCCTTTCAATGATGCTGCAGTGAGAATATGGCACTGAGATCAATAATATGCTTTTTGGATATCAATAATTGAGTTTTATTTTCCCTGGATTTCTTTTGCATGGGTGATACTTGTATGAGGGCAAGGGTATTTTTTTTCAACTTGAACTAAAACTTGTATTTTTCATTAAATTTTAGTCCATTCTAAACATTATTCAAAATTTTTAGATCTTCCACCACCACCAGATCCCCCACCAGGTCAGGGTTTAAGGCAGCAAATAGGCCCGAGCCAGCATACTGGTAACGTGGAAAACTCAACAGAGAGAAAAGGAAGCTCTCTAGAGAAACAGCATGCATCCAGCTTAGAAGACACAAAGAGCTCCCTGGAGTGTCCAGCTAAAACCTCTCTAGAGTGGCAGCGACAAACCCAGGAATGGATAAACTCTACAGAACGCCAAGAAGACACACGGAAAGCCCCACACAAACAAAGTGTTGGACCAGGTGTGTTCCACAGAGTTCCAAGGAAGTGTGGACTGTTACCATTTTTTTTCTACCAGGTATCTTTCAAATGGCATTTGTTTAGAGGCCTTTGAAATACACTTGCCTTAAATCAGTAATTAAAATTAGAATTCTTCAGCAAAATTCATTGGCATGTGCCATGAGTATGACTGCCAGGGGACTGTTCTTCAAGTTAACCTGTCTGTAGGGTGTTTGAGTCCAAGAGACCTCCAGTCTTCATCAACACTACCAGGAGACAATTTGATTTTTTGCTTTGAAATATTTATATTGAGTACTTTAAGACACTAAACTTCATCTTTTGGTCAGTTCGATGACTGCCTTGAGTAAGTATGCTCATTCAGACTGAAGTAACAAATCGCTTGAAAGTATAATTAACTTCAGTCAAGAAGGTGATTGATTGAAATTATAAAATAATAAATAAATGCACAAGCAGAGTCCTCATTTTGGAAAAACAAACTGGAAAAACATAAACTGATTATATGTATTTCATTATTAATGCTTGGGTAGAAATGTTCTTGTTTATAAATCAAGCTTCTTGAAAATGATACAAATGATATGTCATAATTTTCTGTTCGGCTACTATCAGGGGTGGGTTACTGAGCCTGTGATAGAAATACATTTCCTGGAACATCTTACAACATGATTGATTCATTGGGTGCTAACACCTGTATATATATATATATACACAAAGTTTTTGGAAATCTTCCTGCATTCACTCATTTATTCATTTGGACCCAGTCTTTTCTAGATATGTCCTCTCACCATGCATTTTTCCATAGTCATATTTTGTCACAATTTGTCAAGTGCTTGAAGCATTTAATTTGTACAAGGGTCAGAATATGACAATGTTAATATCTAGATCTAGTGAAACATTTAGGAAGTTTAAGCCATTCGAGCTGTGAAAGAAATACAAACAGTGGTTCCTGTATTAAATACCATATAAGAAAAAACAAATAAAGTAAAATAAATACCATGTAAGGAAAGAGAGAGTAAATTCAGTCATCATTCATTAGTTATTAAATCACTTAATAATAACTTATTTACATAGAAAGAAAGAAACAGAGTGAAAGTGGGTGGGGATGGAGGTAAAAAATGCAAAAAAAAAGACAAAGAGAAAGTTTCAAAGTGTTAAGTAATTACTTTATAATATATATCATGAGTCATGTGTACAGAGACAGTATATTAAGAGAATAGTAACACATTAAAATATATGGGTTTCTGTTTCTTTTAATAAAATATGCAATGTTTCCAATATATTTATAGCATAAGAAAAAAATAAATTTGAGGAATTTATTTAATTAACTAATATAGAATTCTTTAAATTGTTTGAGAAAATGTTGCTGTAATGTAAATTAAAATAAAAACCATGTTCTTCCCATCTTAATGGGAAAATTTAATTAGAGCCTCATTGAAAACTTTCCTTGGATATGCTTTTTATTAAGCAAACTATGCTTCATCATATACAGCTCTCTTTTATAATGAATTTAATTTTTTTAAATATTATATAACATTGAAAACTTATCCCAAGGTCTCTTATTTAATCCTGCTTCAGTTCTTATTGTAGAAAATGTTGCTTGTGTGTGGAAAGTCAATATCCAGGCCTGATGAAATCTCATAATTTTAAGTTTGCTAGAAATTGAAATGATAAAATGGTCTATCCTGAGCTTAACATTTGAGACTGAAGTTTCTATTTTGCTGGCATGTTGCAGCTCGATTTAGCCTTCTGTGTGTTCTCTTTCAGAGGAGACCTTGGTGCCCTACAGCAAGCCCAGCTTCCCATCCCCCGGAGGTCACAGCTCATCAGGAACATCATCTTCTAAAGGATCCACTGGACCCAGAAAAACCGAGGTGTTGAGAGGAGGCCACCAGCGCAATGCCAGCGACCTTCTTGACATAGGATATATGGGCTCAAATAGTCAAGGACAGTTTACAGGTGAATTATGTAAGTGTTTTGGGTAACTTAAAGGCTTTTATGATTCAAAGCAAATATTGGACTGAGAGTATTGTCATGTTATACACATTCAGAATAATAAAAACCTTGCTCTGGTTGAGAAGAAAATCAATTATGATTTTGAACAAGTTTGACCAGAACTTAGATGATTGCTGTTTATGGGCAGCAGTGACAAATATTTCATTGATATTTCAAGTTGATTTAGGCTGTATAGAGATTGTTTTAATGTAGGGAATTGTGCTTAGTCCTTATGAGATATACATAGTTCACAGTCTTCTTGCCCTCTTGATTGAGCAAAGTCTCAGTAGTTTTAAAGAACTTCTTTAAGAATGCTTCCTACTGGAGTTCTTCTTCATATATTTTTTAAATTTATAGCACAACTCTGAAAAGTTGATCTTTGCAGTTAATTTTTGATATTTTGACTATAACAATATATCCTATAAATAAACATGCTTTTAAATCAACAATAAGTACTGATAGTTGCTATAATCAATTTTTAAATGTAAAATAGTAATAGAGAAAGATAGGAATGTCACAGTGTGTCAAAGGCAATTCATTGAGTTCTTTCTGTCAGTGTCATCAGGGAATATGCCACTTCCCTAACTCATGTCAGAATTATATCCTCTTAGCATTTCATTTGCTTCTTTGAATTCAGCATAAACTCTGCTAAAAGAACAGCCATGGGTTCCAATATTCTAAACCAATTAACTGGTTATGTAACATGAGAAAGTAAACTTTTCATGGTCTCTGTATTTGTGAAAAATATAGGGTTACTATTATTTTCACATTACATAATGTTGAGGAGACTTCATAAGTTGATAAAAATACGAACTTTTTTCAAACTAATATTTTATTGATCTGAGTTATTTTGAGCTATTATTAATCTGATGTTTCTTGTAAATTATTTGTCAATTTTAATTTATAGCTAGTTATATTTTTCTGTAATTTGTATTTTAAATAATGATAGACTCATAAGGAATGTAAAACATACCTGTTTTAATGTTTTAAATGATTAAATTCTACAATGTTTATCTTTCTTTTCATGTTCAAAACTTTCAAGTAAGATTACTTAAATTCACATTCATAGAACCTAGTAATTTTATCCTCATTTATTATCTGGTTGTCCTGATTTCATTTGTACTGTTCAGGAAAGAAGAATACTTAATTTAAATGTAAGATTATTTCTGATTTCTGCTATTTGTCTCTTTTCAGAGTAACTGAGAGGAGACCTTCAAAGCTGCTCTGAAGGACCACCAGGTCCGAACTCATGGAAGTGATGCCACTAAACAGTGCAATGAACAATTTCTTTTATTTATGTACTATTAAAAGAACTGTAAATGCAATGTAAAGACACACAGCCACACATATCCCACAGATATCTTACTTATGTTCTTCTCTTAAGTATACCACCCATCTTAACTCTTTCTTGTCAGGAGTATATAAAAAAAGAAAGAAAACAAAACTCAAAAACTCGCCCTCCAGGAAGAAAAGGATTTTCCTCTGTATATAATTTCTTTTGTGCATTGCTATGCAAGCTCACTCTTTTTAGCTCTGTTCATATTATCGTCTGTTCTTAATGGTCTGTTGTACTATATGTGAATTAATAGGCTGTGTTGCCATATATTAACTTTTAATTGTGTAACTTTTATGTTTAAATTTTGCACTGCAATTTTATTTGGTGATAAGCACAAATCTCTACTCCTCATGACATGAAGAAAGATTGAATGTGAAGGGAGTTTCTGTACTGTAAGCTAGTTGGATGATGCTGGTGTAACCCATCATGTTAGATGGTTTGCGGTTGGGGTGTAGTAATAGCAAGATGCAAAGGAACAATGGTACTGGCAAAGTCTTCTGCGAATCAAGAAGTGAGTCAATTTACAAAGCGTTTATTGTTGACAAAAGTAGGGGTCGAAGGAAGGAAATTTAAGTCTTTAGATAATATGCATTAAAATATGGAGGTAATGAAGATGAACTAATCTTGCTTTTAAAAAAAGATGTTCTTTTTAGAATCAATATTACCTATGGCTCTAATTGACCCACCTGAGAATTACGAGGAGCAAAAGGAAATTATGATGTTTCACAAGAGCTGTATTTATACTACAGTTTTTAACTAGCAATTTCTGAATTATCATAATTAATCTTTCCAACTCATTAAGTCAGAATATAACATGAAGCTCCCCAAGGAAACAAACAAAATGAACTCCATAGTATCTAGTAAATAGTTAAAGAGGCTATTTATTATTAGGCCATACTCAGGCTGCTTCCAAATATGAACTCTATTGCAATATCTTGTTTCATCTTTATAATACATGTACAGTACACAATAGAGGTTAGACCTGCATCACTTAAATTCATGACTTTTATAAAAATAATGCAGTCTGCATACAATTTTGTGTTTCATTTGGTTCAGAAGTGAAGTTAATGCCACTAACTGTATACCCAAATTGTAATTGCTTAAAAAGCAGTGTTGAGAGTATGTTCAGTTCACAAGTAGATTCATCAGAATAAATACTTTTTGGTACATTTCCAGAAATTGGCTATCAACTCAAATCTGTTTGACCCATTTTGAATGAGCAAATTGAAAAGGAAAATTGAAAAGGAGAAAAATGCATGTTTATTACACTTTTTAAATAAAACCAAACCTTGTAAGTGGACATTAATAACAGTGTCCTGCCTCATTTTTTTTTCACAACTTTGGGAACAAGAAGTTCCTGAACATCAGTTATATATATTCTAAATATGTGACTTTGAGGTCTGTTAAGTTACTGTACATGTATAGTCAATCAGTAAAGTAGAACATTCCTGTAATTCCCACCTGTGACATTTTCTCAATGCCACCTACACATTCTTAAACTCTGCTTCTGCCTGTATTTCTTAATGCTTTTTCTATATATTCAGTAGTTAGTAGAGTGAAAACTAGTCGGTCTAATGATCAGTAAAAATTCTAAAGTAGGGGGCCCCTTGCATGACAATTCACACTCTGTGTGTTTCTGGCTCAATAGAGCTAAAGGTGATATCATTAAAAGTGCCACCATTTTTATTCTCCAAGACTGCATCAACACAGGCAGCAGAGATTGCAGAGTGCTTGATGGGTCCCACCATCTTCTTGGTGCCACATTGTTTGTTTCTTCACTGAAGAGTTTTCTGACACACTTATTAAACCCTCCTCCAAATTTCTACCATCAGTGCCTAAATTTTAATGCAGTTCGACTTTTCTCTGGGACAGAGACTGGGAAAGGTGAAAAGATTCTGCAAAAATGATACCTGGTTATTCACAAGTGTAAGGTGCAATTTCATTATCTGTGCAGTTCCTTGCTTCACCTTCCTGCATTTTTTTTTTTTTTTTTTTTTTTTTTTTTTTGTACCTGGGATCAAACTCATGACCCTGCACTTGCCAGGCAAGTGCTTGTGCTGCTGAGTTATATCCCTAGCCATTCCTGCATTTAAAAGCAAATTTCTAAGTTTTTTATTCATTTGTTTTCCTCTTTTATACCTCTCAGTAACAAAATTAGGTTTAAAACTTTACTGTAACACATATATTATACATTGCTATTACCCTTAATAACTGGCACTTGTAGATGATTACTAAGTCAAGACTTCAAAGTTATATATTGTTTTTTTTAGCTGATTTGTAGAATAATTCAGGGTATAGCATCATACTTTTCTGATAGTTTTCACTACACAAAAAATTTAAAAGTATATCAATACAGACCTTGTGGTTACTTGGAATATTCTTTTACAATAATCCATATTGTCTGTTAAATCTTATTTGAAATAAATTGATCTGTCAAATCTAGCATCTAATATACATAGTATCCTCATATGGAGGTTAATATGCTATAGCCATATGAATTCAGGAACCATATCAAAATCAAAGCTATCATCAATTTGCTATATGTAAAAAGTTACTATCAGTGAACTCAGAATATCAACAGAAGATTACACACCTGTATAACAGCCACCTTGGTTTTTCATTGTGTTGTTGATTAAGTGAATGTGATTTGAAATTCTCTGAGCTCACTTCGCAGGTCTAAACAGAGGCCAGCATACAAGATAAGAGGGAAATGGGTGGAAGAGAATGTGATCTTGCACTGCTGCGCAATGATGCTATGCAGTCATGCCTGACACATGCATTCATAACAGGCAGAGTCTACTTCTCAATGCTCAAACTCAGGTATGCTGGTGTATGCAATAGAGACAGCTTGTCCTCCTCCAAATCTTTGCCATGCCATTTTAAAAATAGGATTATGCAGGGGCATGCAAACAAGTTTCCTTCACAGGATTTGAATCCAGTGTAAGAAAGAATATAGGAAAGTCAAGATCAACATGTAAGGTATCACACAACCAAAGGGAAAAAGAAATATGGCAAGTTTATTTGCTTCGAATAACAAAACAAAGTTCATGGTGTTCTGTGTCATAGTTGAAAGCTCTGGGTATTTAAATATATTTTCAATGGGATTAGTTCAAAATTTGTATGTACTTTGGTGGAACACCTCCCAATTTCTCTTCAATATATTTATGTAATTGTCCCTTGACAATAAGACAATAACAATGCCAATGAGCTCCAAACTGTGGATTATCTCCACTGGAAAGTGATTGTGTGTCAGTATTAAAGATATGCAGAACCATAACATTCACTAATATTAGTTTCCCCATTTGCTTCTGTATGTTGTTTATAGAATTACATGACAAGCATTGGTGTAAATCAACATGTTTTCCACATTATCTTAGAGGTGAAGTTATGTTTATTTTGCTTCTTTATAATGTGTATGTCAAATGAAACACCATTCATTTTTAAGGGACATACTAATTTTCTTTAATTTCATGATTTCAAAAGCATTTATTGTGACTTTAAAAGTGTTGCAAGATAAGGGATTTTGTGGCCGTGGTAGATTTTTTATACTTTGTTTTATAGTAGATTCTTTTTTTTAAACTGTAGTTTGTTTAAGTCACCAAACAGCGTCTAAAATCTTACTGTGTTTCATTTGATGTTGTTCGATTGGCAAAGAAATTGGCATAAAAATTGGTTAATAGTATTGTCAAAGAATTGTGTATTGTGTAATCACTGGGAAAAATAAAATATATTCACATTTCAAATTTGTAAAATTAGCCATTTATATAAAACAAACTTTCTCATAGAAAAAACAAAAATAGACCATTCAGTCACTTTTAGAACTCCACATTAATATTGTGTAACCAGATGGATAAGCTCACCCTCTAAATTGAGCCATGGGTTGAAAAGTGATAAATAGGATATTTATCACTTTTGATTTACAGCAGTCATTAAAAGACACTGATACTGATTGTAACAAATACTTGAAAACATATATCCTATTCTATGAGTACGGCATTCCTCATCTATTACTTTTCTCCCACCATAATGATCTCTAAATATAACACAGATATTTTATCTATAGAATTATTTTAATCATTTAAAAAGTGTAAGTAGCTATGAGAATTGGAAGCAAGTGAATTATTTCTTAATTTGGGGGGACACATAATTATAAATTTTATTGAAAATATTTGATGTTGAAAAATTACCTTGTAGAAAAGGAAAATATGCAATTTACTGATACTTCATAAATATTTCATTATTTTTCATTGTAAACTACAGCTGTAGGATCTGCTGCTCTCCAAAAACATCAATGTTTTATGTTCTTAAAATAATAGCCACACCAGGTGCGGTGGTGCACCCCTGTAATCCTAGCACTTGGGAGACTGAGCAGGAGAATCATTATGAGTTTGAGGACAACATAGGCTCCATAGTGAGTTCAGCGCCAGCCTAAACTATACCGAGACCTTGTCCCAATAAATAAATAAATATATAAATAATATGTACTAAAAAAAAGAAAATTGTAATCTTACCACTTTTATTCAAAAATATATTTAAAAACACATGGCCAATGGAAAACACAGCATTTCATGTAGTTAAATATGTATCAATAAGACTCTGTTAATAAGTCATGTGGCATTAATACAATCAGTGGGGATATATAACATGAATTAAAAATAAAAACATCTCATTTACTGTATTCTTCACTTTCCCATCACTGGAACAAAATCCTCAATACCTGCAATTGATAGAAGGAAATGTTTATTTTTACTCACAGGTTATCCTACAGTCTATTTGCTCCAAGGTCAAAATAGCATTGTGAAAGGGCCTAGTAAACTAAAACTGCTCACCTCATGTGTCCAGGAAGTACGGGAGGGAGCAGCTGGAGAGGATGGTGTGCGCTTTCAGGTCCAGCCCCCAGTGACTCACCTCCAACAATGCCCTACATTTCAACAGCACATTCATGAATCAGCCCAGCAGTGGATTGCTCCAATGATAAGTGTAACACTGTTTTGATCCTGTCACCTTCTAAAAGTCCAAGGTTTGAATACTGAGAATTTGGTGGGGAATATTCCAGTAGGTTACAAACTAACCATAGTTTTATGAAATTAGTTTGCCTGTGCTACACCTGGTAAACGTAAAAGAATTATAAGAAAGGTTGGCTAATATATCATGCACCCTTGATTATTATACGCATTAGAAAACTTTACACAAGCATTGCAGAAAGTATTTATAAAACACACAGTATTTATAAAACATAAATATCTTCAAATTCTAAAATTTGTCTCTTAAACAAAGAAGGACATCAGTGTTTACCTTAAATTTTGTAACAGAAATATGCAATCCATCTATACAATAACAGAAAGTCAAGTTTTATGAATTTAAAGAGAAAAACATGTATAGAGGTTAGGTAGGAAGGGAAGGCAATATATTGTTGCAAAGTCTCTTTTACATCGATGATGCAGCACAGTCTCAAATTTGTCCTTTATGTCCATAAAACAAGGAAAAGTTTTGGTGCATGGGAATGTCAGGAACCTGTCCAGTCAGCATCCAAGAAACAAATATAGAACAATTGTGAGGTTCAGCGTTTACAACATATTTTTATTTTTCATTAGTCATATATAGATAGATAGATAAATCTCCAAGTATCTGTTGAGATCTTACCAAGATATCATCAAGGTATTTGATTATGTTTATTTATACAATTTTTATGTATATATATATGTATACTTCATAAATATGTTATTAATCTGATACTTAAAATATCTGTTACATATAAATCAGATATCTAAAAGAAAGCTTCATTTATGCTTCAAATACTATGACCTTAATATCCTTCGGAAACCACTGTAAGGGCCTTTTAGGACATGTTACCACAGTGCACTTTGCCTAAAAAAAAAAAAAAAAAAAAAAAATGGTTTGACAAACATAGCCTCTAGGTAGTAAACAACATTTTTGACAAGCTTTATATTTTTCTAGATAATATTTTTCAATAATTTGTTTTTAGAAATTCTGGATCTTTATTTTTTATGCTTTTGCAAGCAACTGTTGAGACATTGTGTTTAGAATTAAATATGCAGAGTGCTTTAAAAAGAAATAACATTTGCCTTCACAAATAGATTAATATCCTCCGTTAAATCTTGCCCTGTTTTCTAGGAAAGTATCTTTTTGATTAATGCTTTATGCTAAGGGAAAAAAAAATCAATAAATAAAGCTTTCAAATACTTTGTGAATTAATAAATTCTCTATTAGCTTCATTAACATTTTTCACTCCGATTATATGATCCATGTTCTAGACCTTCTCAGAATAGTCTATAGAACATTAATTAGCATTTTACAAATAAAGATAAGGAGGAGGAATTCCATAGTTGAATATGTAAAGAGATTTGTTGACTCCTTTACAAATCTGTTTAAATCTGCCATGATCTAAAGCCCTGTGTCTTATATGTCTTGTAACACTATAATTGTGAAAACTACCCTAAGAATTACCACCCCTCTTCTGTCTCTAGATTTGCTTTTGGAGTTACAAAGCAGTGCATGCCACGCATTGCTGTGGTTTCTTTTATTAAGTAACAGGAAAAAGACATTCAAATCCCACGTTTTTTTGTAGAGATGATGGATAAAATGTGCAGTGAGAAATTAATTCATTAAATTGTGTTACATAAATTTTATGGACATCAGTGTTTTGCACTTTGGCAATAGTTAAGATTGTGTCATGTTTGTCAGTGCTTCCACATGCTTTTGTATACTGTCAAGTTTTCAAATCATTAGACTAAAATTAAGCCATAAAAATATCTTATGCCTCCTACACTGGGCTTTCAATTTGCACAAAAGGGTGATTGTTTAATTTCAAGATTACTAGCTGAGGGGCTGGGGATTTAGCTCAGTGGAATTGGCGCCTGCCTTGCAAGCAGGCAGTCCTGAGTTCGACCACTGGTACCGATAAAAAGGAAAAAAGACAAAAAAAAAAAAGAGAGATTATTAGCTGGTTATTACTAGGTTCTGTGTCAAGTGGAACTTTGCTAAAAATAATAGTAGATAATACAAGATTTAGGACAAGGAGGCATATTGCAACAAGATGATAAAAAGATAGTTATTTGCAATGATAAACATCAGAATACTAAAAAACTAGTAAATACAGAAGCACAAATGAGAAAATGGAGGTTACTATGAACTCTCACTAATAGTGAGTAAAAAGATAATGTCATAGAAGTTAGAGTAGAATATGAGATATAAGGATTCATATGTAAGCCTTTGAACTGCCAACTAAATGAATATAACAACTATAATGTAGTGTGAAACATTTCCCTTTAGAAAGAGGCAGTTTCAAGTAAGCAACAATGACAGGAAATACCAGACAAAAGTGGAATTAACCAAGTATGATGAACATAATTTTAAATTGGTCCGAGTGCCTTTCTGCACATATAGAATGGAATGTAACAGAATCAAACCAGACCCCAGAACTTGAATAGGAACTTCATTAAAGAAAATTAAGAACAGTATCTAGTGATGATAAATCTTGCAACAATAATCTGAGGACCAACCACAAAAGCACAAACAAAGCTATATGCTGGGAAGAACAGACTAAGAACAAAGCAATAAAATTTAGGAGGAAAATATGAAATTGAAGGCAAAATTTGGACTTTCCATCCTTTCTCCCTCCTACCCTGCCTTCCTCCAGGACCCTAATGAGTTGTTGATTATCTTATTAGAAACCAGCAACAGAAAAGCTTAGAGCCATGACAAATTGAAAGAACAAACATGTATAATTATGAACTGCAAAATATAATTAATCATCTATTCATTGTGAACATTTCTTGTAAAATGAATTTATAGTCATAAATCTCACAAAACTTTCATGAAATGCACACACAAAACATTAAGTAATTTTCTGACAACACAAACTTGATGTGAGACTTACTGGCAGTACTCAGTGTAGATTTTACTTTTTTTTTTTTTTTTTCCTTGTCTTTTCCTTTTTTATCGGTACCGGGGATCAAACTCAGGACTGCCTGCTTGCAAGGCAGGCGCTTAAACTGCTGAGCTAAATCCCCCCTTGGTGTGGATTTGAACATGCATCTGTTAGATTAGCTCTTGAAGCATAAACTATACCTAAAATCGTTAGACTAAAATTCAACATTTTACTTGACATTTTTTTCTAGTTTTGGCTTGTTACCGGGACTTTCATATTCCCATGCTTAAATTTGGTGCTCTTAGAAATGATGTCTTTCCCTTCAAAGACATGTTTATTTCTCCAGCCTTTGAGGTTTGAGAAATCATTTCTAAATAGATTGTGGAATTTTAAGAAATCTGAAGCACTCAAATGCTATGTTTCATAGTCCTTTTACAACTACCAGCTTCTGACACAACACAGAAATGAGGGGCTGCCTAATTACTTTTGAATTGATTTGAATATACTGGTACCCTCCTACTTATTTTAATAAAATAAATTGAATGACACTGCGATGACTTGTAAAAACATCCATTCTCCATTTGATTAAATATCCTATTTAGGAATCCAAAGACTACACATAGTGCAAAATAAGATAATTAAAGGAGTAGACACAAAATAGAAAGAATCAAAAATGTGTTTAGAAGCTACTTGGCAGTTGATCAATCACTGAATGGAGAATATAGGGTATTAAATCTATCTATGAAGAATAGAGCATTATAAGACATCATTTTACCTCTTTGTAAGTCCAAGATAAGTTTCCTATGATGAGACAATAATATGAGACACTGCCAGACTCTCAAGCAAGTAAAA